TATCTACAGCCCCGCTATCCCCCGGGAGAAGTGGCAGCGCAAGCGCACCCAAGTGAAGATTCGGGTATGTTCCCCCTGGCCATCAGGACCCCAACCCTTTGGCAAGGCAGCACTGGGCTCTGGCCAGTCCTGGGTGCCTGGGCAGACCCCGGCCTTGGGGCGATGCAGCTGGGAGGGGTTGCTCCCATCTGCCAGGAAGATGCCGGGACAGTCCCGCAGCCCGGCGGGGCCCGTGTGCCCCCCTGGGGGCTTCTTCAGGTGTCACCTGTGGCCCTGACTTCTGAACCCCCTGTGTCCCTGCAGAACGTGACGGCCAACCACCGGGCCAGCGACGTGATTGTGTGTGAGGGCAAAGCACAGGTCCTCAGCGGGCGCTTCATGTATGGACCCCTGGATGTGGTGACACTGACCGGGGAGAAGGTACCGCTGGGCTCATGAGAGCTGCCAGGACCCCATCAAACAGGGTGGGGATGTCCAGGAGGGGGCACAGGGCTGGTGTCACCCGCAGCAGGGGAAGGGATGTGGTGCACAGGACCCCACAGGACCTTGTGGGTTGGGGGAAGAGGGTCGTAAGGACTTGTAGGTTGGGGACACAGCAGGATCTGGAGGTTCAATCCATGCTCAGCCCTTTTCCCTCTCCCAGGTGGACATCTACATCATGACGCAACCGCTGTCAGGGAAGTGGCTGTACTACGGCACCGAGGTGACAAGTGGCAGCGGGCGCTTGACCTTCACCATCCCTCCGGACAAGGCTCTGGCCATTGGCATCTACCCTGTCCGCATGGTGGTCAGGTGAGATGCGGGTGTGCGGTGCCATCTCTGCTCCTCCTCCAGCCCTTTTGGCAGAGCTTTGCTTGCCCCCTCGGCAGCAGAGCTGGCGCTGAGCCTCTCCTGAGCCTCTCACTCTCTCATCCCAGGGGGGACCACAGCTACGCCGAGGCATACCTGACAGTGGTGGCCCGGGGCACTGAGTCAGTCGTGTTCAGCATCGACGGCTCCTTCACCGCCAGCGTCTCCATCATGGGCAGCGACCCCAAAGTGCGGGCGGGGGCTGTCGATGTCGTACGGTAGGTGCCCTTCACATTGTGAGGACAACCTGCCCCTCCTTTGGTGGTGCAGTGACAACCCAACTGGGGTAGCAGGGGTGTCGGAGCAGGCTGCCTTCCTAGGGATAAGCTGGGGGAATCTCCTGCCGCCCCCTCACCCAGAGAGTTTTCACAGCATCTGCACTGGTGCCTTCTCACAGGAAAGCAGTCTGCTCCCAGTTTTGGTCCTGAAGCCTGCTGTGATACCCCGCAGCTCTGCTGTGCATTCAGCCTTGCTAAAATCCCTGTGGGGAGGAATGTTTTGGAGGCACCACCCATGTGTGATGCACTGGGAGATGCTCGGTGGCTTCCCACCAGCAGGACTGTCCCCATGCAGGCTCCTGGCACCAAAATGTGTCCCCTCCTAGGCACTGGCAGGACTCGGGCTACATGATCATCTACGTGACGGGGCGCCCCGACATGCAGAAGCACCGCGTGGTGGCCTGGCTCTCCCAGCACAACTTCCCCCACGGCGCCGTCTCCTTCTGCGACGGGCTCACCCATGACCCCCTGCGCCAGAAAGCTGCCTTCCTCCAGAGCCTTCGCACCGAGGTGGGGACACTGACACCAGCGGGGTGGGGACGTGGGGCTGGTGGTGGTGCAGGGGGTAGTGTGGGCTGTCTCGCAGCCCATGCCCTTCTGTCTCGGGGGTCAGTGGAGCTGCGGGCACAGATGCTCAGAGCTGGACCACGCTGCAAGGGCAGAGCTGGCACTGACCCCCTGCCCTGGGACCCTGCTCAGAGGAGCGGCTCCCAGCCTGTGGGGGGTGCAGTCATCCCT